CTTCAGTTCTAGGTAATTTTCAACCACAAAAATCTTTGGGTTTACATTGCCATTAGCTAATGGTGAAAGAGATAAATACTAGCACTTGCATGTTTACATTTATATATGTATATTATGTATATTAATATTTTTTATTATTTAAAAAATAAAACTACACCTGTACTCATATTTATTGTAATGTCTGTATTAGGATGAGACTGCATGATGAACAACTATGATTGTTCTTAAGGAGAAGCAACAAATTTCATTTTTTGTAATAGTGTAATGCCATTATCTTCTAGAACTATTAAAGATGATTCACCTAGGAAACAGCATACTGTCGTGGTGCTTCCTCACATTGTATTTTGTGTAAATAATTTGTGATCTTCTACATTTGCATTTAATTTAGAGGATCAAAATGCTTTAATTTGCATATTTAAGATGTTAATAGTTAAAGCGTAGCTGTATTTTCACTCATTCCTTCTTTCCCACCTTCCATATGCAACAGTAGTTGTAATTAAGCATGCCACTATTCTAGTGCTTTTTTAAATTACAGCAAACTTCTTCAAGTCTCAGGTGCCTTTTCTATATCTTATCTAACAAAAGAGTTAAACTGGTTGAATTCTACCATTGCTGACTGTATTGGGCGTCCAAGTGTAGGTAGGTCACCTGGCTTTGCACTGTGAAAACCTCTTCTGAGCAGGGTTGGAAGGAGAATTGTTTCAGTTGGCAGGAGTGTACTGCCAGCATTTGAATGCCTGTTTGAGCCAGAGTACTTCTAGCCATAAAGGAGGTGTTTTTGCAAAAGGTACCCTAGAGTAGCAAAGCTTTTTATGTATTCTTTTTAATCAATTAAAATGGTGCTTAAAGTAAAGAGACTAATGGCTTTAGCTGTGGACTGCTGCACTATAGTTGTTAAATACTGATGGTATTGAATCAAACAACAGCTGATAGATACTGGCGAAATACAGAACCATTTCAAGGCTGACATTTCTTTAAAAATTTCCCTTTCAAAATATCTAACATTGCTGTTCTCTATTGGGCTAGTATTTCTGAAATCTGGTTCATACAATGTTACCAGCTCCAGTTATCTTTTTAACATAAGAGACTCAAGAACTCAAGGAAGAAGTATTTTAAAGTTCAGTGGCTTATGAGGAGAACCTTGACACTGATAAGAATAAATATGAGATTATTGATAATAAGAATGCAGCATTTGTTATAGAATCATTTAGAGGGAAAAGACCCTTAAGATTGAGTCCAGCTGTAAACCAGCAGTGCCATGTTCCTAAGTGCCATATGCACACGTCTCTTAAATACCTCCCGGGATGGTGAGTCAACCACTTCCCTGGGCAGCCTGCTCCAATGATTGACAACCCTTTCAATGACGAAACTTTTCCCAATTGCCAATCTAAACCTCCCCTGGCACAACCTGAGGCTGTTTCCTCTCATGCTATCACTTGGTACTTGGCAGTAGAGACAGACACCCACCTTGCTACAACCTCATTTCAGGTAGTTATAGAGAGTGATAAGGTCTCCCCTGAGCCTTCTTTTCTCCAGACTAAACCACCCCGGTTTGCTCAGCTGCTCCTGATAAAACTTGTCCTCTAGACCCTTCACCAGCTTCGCTGCCCTTCTTTGGACACACTCCAGCACCTCAATCTCTTTATTGTAGTGAGGAGCCCAAAACTATTTGAGGTGCAGCCTCACCAGTGCCAAGTACAGCGGCAGTCACCTCCCTAGTCCCACTGGCCACACTATTTCTGACACAAGCCAGGGTGCTATTGGCCTTTGCGGCCACCTGGGCACACTGCTGGCTCATATTCAGACAGCTGTCTACCAGCACCCCCAGGTCCTTTTCCGCCGGGCAGCTTTCCAGCCACTCTTCCTCAAACCTGTAGCATTTTGTGCGGTTGTTGTGACCCAAGTGCAGGACCCAGCACTAAGCCTTCTTGAACCTCATACAGTTGGCCTTGGCCCATCGATCCAGCCTGTCCAGATTCCCCCACAGAGACTTTCTTCCCTCAAGCAAATCAACACTCCCACCCAACTGGGTGTCATCTGCAAACTTACTGAGGGTGCACTTGATCCTCTTGTCCAGATCATTGATCAAGATATTAATCAGAACTGGCCCCAGTGCTGAGCCCTGGGGAATACCACTTATGACCAGCAAACAGTGGATTTAACTCAATTCACCACAACTCTTTGGATCTGGCCATCCAGCCATTTTTTTACCCAGCAAAGAGTGCACTCTATCCATGCCATAATGATGATCTCATGTTCTTCTCTGCCTCTAGCTGTGTTTATGGACTGCAACCCTGTTCTTAGGTCAACTGAAATTTCTGTAATCTAAGAACTGTTTGACTAACTAAACAGTGGAAGCATCACTATATATAAAGCAGATATGGTAAAGTACTGACTTTCTACATCCTAGAGATTGGATGCATTAGATGATCTCTGCCTAAAACAAGAATAGGATGCATCAGCATCAGAAGAAAGCTCATAGAAGTTTAAGACTCTTTTGGTAGAGAAAGCAAAGATCTCAATTTAAAGTGATCATTAGTGCAAAATTACTACAAGAATAGTTTATTTGTTTAGAAAATGCAGTGGCTAGATAGCCAATTTTCTGGGCAAAAAAGAAAGCAAATGTCCACATTATACTGCAGAATATGTAAATACTCTAAAACTTAAGTTAGAATTTTTTAAGTGAAATTTGCATTTGAAAATCATAAGCAATGTATCTGTATTTCTAGATGAACTACCATTAAGGGAACAGATCAAGCCATTCCCCTAAGGAAACAAAATTTTGACCAGTGCAATTAATTTGTAAACTGAAGGCAACAGCAGTTTGTGGTAATCTGTGGTGAAGCCCATCAGCACAAGTGGATTCTCTGTTGAAAAGCATGCTGATCATTGTAGAAAACAGACCACAAATTTGCATTTAAGCTTCAGATTCTGTTTCCGGTAAAGAGTCCAGTTGAACACTATGCACAGAAATGCAGCATACCAAATAATGTAATGTTTTATACAATATGAGATAGAATTACTTACTGCTGTAGAAATTGCTCAGGATTTTCCTTTGGTTTACATCTGCATTCAAAAAAAAAGTATGCAAATACATAAATATGTCCTTAGATTGCACACATTTACTACCATTTTTCTTTTAAAAAAAAATTGTTAAAGAGATGAAGCATAGTATTTGCACTGTGTGGGTCAGTGCTAAACTAACTTTTCATTGCTTTCTGCTACAATGCAACTGGCAGGTCTCACTGGTTGGATATAAGGTATTTCCTGACAGGTGAGCAACTGTTGCATGTATGTAATGCATGCAAAAACTAAGTCCTTGTCTTCAGGCTCATTAAGCTAACTTCCGCATTAGGCCAATTTCAGTAGCAATGCCACTGGCACAGGTTTCCTAAACTAGCTTGGCTCAAATTAAATATTTAGGGAAAAAAAACTTTTAAGATAGCCGGGCATCACTAGGCCATAACTGCAGTGCAGAGCTACAGAAGTGTCATCTCAAAATACACACAGAAAAAGAAACCTGCTGGATTCAAGGCTGATAATTACCAAGCACCACAGGTTAATATAAAGTTTCAAAGGCATAGCACATCATCTTGTACTGATTTATGAACTCTGAGTATGCATTGAAAAAAAATAAAAAAGAGAATGCTAGGACCCAAAATTATGCACAGTAAAACCCAAACACTAACTACCTTTTAAAAAGTCGTACGCTCCAATAGTGATGCCTGTTGAAAACACTGGGAGATAAGACAGGTCCACCAAATCAGTGAAGAGTGAACTTTTTTGTTGTTTTTCTTAAAAGAGCACTAATTATCTGAAGAAATGGTGAATTCATGCCAAAGAAGGTCATTAAGCCATGCAAACACACTTATTCAAGCAAAGCAGTGGACATATGCTTTATTTTTAAAATCTACCTGTCATCAACTTCACATACAAAAGAACCCTACTTTTGCATTAGACCTAAATTGGGATTGGACAGAGAGGAAACAGTATTCATCATACTACAGAGATTTGTACAATGTCTTTAATAACCATTACTGCACAGAAATCAGCATAGATACAGGCTTATTGCAACAACTCAGAAGTAAAATGTGTCTCATTCAAAATTTGTTTCACTTTTGTATCACAACTGTACGATTTTAGGCTTTATAAAAAATTCTCTCTCAGAAAAGAAATATACGACCAGTATAGCAGTAGAAGGTTTAAAACCACTATCCTCACCACAGCTTGGTTCTGTTTTTCTGCAAGCGCTCTCAATGACAATTAAAGATCAGAGTAGTCCCAGGTATGCTCTCAGCCATATATCCATCCTGACATGGCTTTCTCCCCAGTGTTTTGATTTGAGGGGCATTCTCTGAGGTATCATAACTCAGTCTTACACAAACAATCTTGCTCTCACTTCCCACCCAAGTAGCATTTATTACTAGCTTTTCCAATTTATTATCAGGTCAGCCATGACTGTTCTAGTTTTGTTTAGGAAGATGTCAGATAAGCCATGAGTCAAAAGAGAGACATTATACAATGCCATGAACAAAAATAACAGGATGCAAGGCGAAAGAAAGAACAAAAGGCTCAGTCTCCATGTATAACTTTTGAAGCACCTTGGAGAAGTCGCAGCCCTGATACAAAATGGATCGTGACATGGTTTTTGTGCACAAACTTCCCCATTGTTTAAGTAATTGCTGCCTGACCTCTTCTTTCTCCAACTAGAAGACAGGCTGTTTTTAAAAGATGTCTCTAAAAGATGCAAGATAGTAGGTGCTGTAAGAGTATCTGACATTCAGTGTTGTTCAGGCCTAAAAATTTTCAGCTATAGACAGCTCCCTTATCTGGTCATACTGTACCACTAGCCTATGATAAAATAATAATCCAAGGTCTGATGACTACTGAATTCTATTCCTCCCCCTGAGTTTCTTCTGCAGCTTTTTTACCATCCGCAGGTTACCCAATGGTCTTCTCAGCCACTACACATGCTTGCATTTCCCTTCTTTATATCTCACCTTCTCTGTACTGCAGATGCTTCTCTCCCACTCTCTCACAGGTCTCTCTCCCTTAAATAGCTGTGAAAAAAGATTAACTACCAGTTATTGAAATATTTTACTAACTACACCTCTAGTGAAAAATGTATGTGCAGAAAGACTAAAGAAACAGAAATCACAAACATTGAAGCTTCTCCACATAAAATATGCAATTTCCTAATCTAATCAGTCAGAAGGAAAACATATACTGAAAGCCTCAGATTGATTGGCTGCACAATTTGATCATATTTATAGATGATTTGTGTCAAATATAGAGTTGCAAAAACATGTGAGAGAATGCTTTTTACCAAATCAGAACTCAATAGAGAGACAACTTTTACAGAAAAGGAAGAAAAAATTAATATGCAAACATATATTTTAAATGTTATGTCTGAAACTTTTACATGTACCCAAGGCAATGAACTTACATTGTAACCAGCAACCTTAGCTGACAATACTATGTCACTACACTTGTTTTGCTTTACATATATAATGTGCACATAGAAGAAATTCAGGAAAGCTACTGTAAAATGCCAGTGAAAAATCAGAATACCTGTCTCAGGTCTCAGTCAGTCACCAGTGCTGCATTGCTTTGGGCACATTATTTCACCTGTCTGGATATTTATTTCTCAGAGAAAGGAGAATAATACTACCCTCCTTGTAAAACATTTATATAATTATAATGTGTTTCTTCTGTTATTCAGGATCCTTATTTACACTTCGAGATGAAAAATAAATTCAATATATATTCACAATATATATTCTTAATGATTAAAAAAAAAAACAACAACCAAATTTCCAGTAGAATGCTTTCTCTTCTTTTTATGCTGGGACTAGATACTTTCCTCTCTTTACAGGGGCACCATGACCCTATACCCATAACTGTGTTATTGACAACTCCTTAAAATAACTCTGTGTTCATTAAACTTTAAATCACATAATAAGGCTGTACAGCCTGTAACTGCTGTTGTTGATTTAGACAGCTACTATTGATAACAGGGATAGGTCATTAAGGATTCTTTGATATTCAAGATGATGACACAGATCATAATTTCTTGGAGAATGTCACCATTATGCGAAGTTCTACACTGATTATTGTAAAGGCATAGAACCTACTATGCTATTGCCTGCCACAGCTATTAGAGACATGTTAAAAGTTACTATTGTGATAAATATTAGAAGAATTTTGCTTTCGCTAAAAGTAATTAAACAATTACTTTTATTGAGTTAGGCTAAAGCTATTATTAGTACCACGATCCAAATTTTAAGAAAAGCAAAAGAATTTACTACTGGGAAAAGAGAAGGGGGGGAATTGATCTGAGGAAACACCAACCCAACAGCCCCCCCCCCTTCTTGGGATGCTCACCAGATGGTCCATATCAAAGGATGGTAACTCCTTTGCAATGGAATGAGAAAGAACAGGATGGGCCATCTCTGGTATCTCTTGTCCTTGAGATAAGAGAGGAACTGAAACCACTGAGCCATAAAGACAAAGGAGCTGCAAATTGGCCCAGACTTAAAGGACAAGGTGTACGAGACTACAGGACTGAGTTTGTGCAGAAGCAAGGGTCAGCTAGTGAACACAGTGAAGAAGACTACGAGCCTTCGTCTGCAGACCCCTGCCCACGACCACCAGGGAGCACTGCGCAAGCGTGATGGGAGGAATTTGGGGTGGGGGGATATGTTAATGATTTCTCGGAACTAATTGTAATATTCCCTCCCTATCCTTGGAGTAGTGATGCATATGTATGACAGTAGATGAATATGTAAACTTTTATACAATAAAAGGGAGCCCCTTTGGCTCCAGAGGGCACGCCATTGCGCCCAGCGCTGTATTCTTTGCTCCACTGACTTTGTCCCCAATAAAACCTTTTTTATATATACGTGGGCTTGTTTCTCACACTGTGTTTGTCTGAAGACTGTTCAGGGTGAACCATGCTCAAGCTTCATTTTGAAAGGTGCTGTATTTGTACCTGAATTGAGCTATTCCTTCATCTGAAAAATTGTCAGATGTATCTGTACACAGTTTAGCTTCACTTATATCAGCTATATGAACTGTGGTAGAGCTATGACTCAGTGAATGCTATCTTTGAGCTGTGTTTTATAACCAGGACACAGCTCTCTCCTTGTTACAGATGGTGGTGGGTTTTCTTCTTGGTCACGCCACTGATTTATTGCAAGTTCATCATGCTGCTAACATCTAACACTACTAAACTTAAAGGTTTTTTAGAACTTTGTGAGGGCTATATAAAGTCTTGTCAGAGAGTAGCTATAAAACAAAAACTCAAACCAGCAGTAGATGCTTAAATGTTGTTCTGTAATAGACAATTAAAGAACATTTGAAGACTTTGTGCATATAAATTCTCCCTGGGTTCACCTTTTGCAGAGTTGATGTGTGTACACTACACTTTCACTTCAGTGATTAATTTAACATCCTGTTTAACCCTAGAAAGGAAAATGTGTTTGGTTTCAAGCGTACTTTCAGAGACCACTTGATCACATAATGACATCATTCTCCAGGGACAATAATCTCTGTCTAGGAAAGGTCCCAGAATGGCTGAAGTGCATTAGCTTAGATGGAGATTCTGATGCTGGTCATGATGTAGGTGCTGTCGACCACATAACATTGCAAAGACTTCACAAGCACTGATTAATAACCTCAGTGCCCTTGATGTAGCAGAGGTGGTATGATCTGAAAACCCAAAGGCTTAGAGATTTCAGGTCACTGTTGCTAATAGCTGACCTGCCAGAAATTGATACATTTTCCCTACATGGAAGCCCTCAAAAAAAAAAAAAAAAAAAAAAATACGGTGAGAGAGAAAAAGAGGAAGAGAAAAGCCCGAAGTCATCTTGAAGGTGTAAGAGTTACAAACCAGCCAGGGAGCTAGAGAGGATCTGAAAATGGGACGAGTCAGACTCTCACATGCGAAATGAAACAAAGCACATATTCCTTTGCATTGGACTAATTGCTATTTTCTCCTTTTGTCCCTTTTTTTTTCACCCCTATGGATTATGACTGCACTTCAGCCCCAACTTTCAGAGAAAACAAGCTGTTCAAAGAAGTTCACTGTAACATCCTTTATCTCTTCAGATGCTAAAAAATTTAGGTTAAGTATTGTCTTTGTCAGTTCTCTAAGCACTTTCTCAAGCTAGGTTCAAGGACAGTTCTACAAGACTTCTCAAACATATAATATCATCTTACAAATCTCAAACCATCAGTAAAGTTGACAATAATATTGTTTCAAAGAAATACAGGGTAAAATTTTACTTCTGTCTTTTGAAATGACAGAGATATCTACTGAAAAGTACAAGTGAAAACCACACAGAACAGAACTGTAAAGGCAACAGACAGTATTCAAAGCTGCAGAAAAAAGATAAAGAAAAGCAACTATTACCAAGCTAATGAATGATGAAAATTAAACAGTGCAAAACCAGAAAAATTAAGACAAATTGCTAGAAGCAAGAATAAAACAATTTACATGGAGCAGAAGAAATACTAATGCATGCAGATATTTTTCAGCTACACAAATCTAAAACAGAAAATGATACCTGAAACAGCAATGTAAGCATGAAGCTGTGTAGCTCAAACTCACCAGCATGAAAAATACCAGCCCAGGTGGTTTGAACATGAAGGGAGAGGGTGCCAGAGAGTGTGGAAAATAACAGCTAACAGGTGGTTTTCAGGTAAGGAGGCAATGAGAGCAAAACCTCTTAATAGGTTAAGAGGATATGCACAATTATCCTTATTCTGAGGTCTACATTTCAGCTAAGCTGGACAGAAGGGAAAATTTCTAGTACTTTCAGTTGAAAGAGATTAGACAAGTTCCCTCTTGGGATGAATTTTACCACTCTTTATAAACTGAAGGTCTGTATTTCACTTACAGTTCAATACAGAGCTGAGTCTACCTCTGCAACAGGCATCAAAATGCCTCAGGTAGTGAGAAAGGATTGGTTTCAATTTGGCTAGCTGAAAGACCACGCAGACTCTCGGCAGCCTGGCCTGAGATGTGCAGCACCAAGGACACGACCCAGTCACATCTGCCAACAGAAAGATATTTTGCTCATAGTTTCAGGAGGATCTTTGTGTTTAATAATGCTGATATAGCAGTCTCAAAGCTATGGAAGGGTCTTCTGCAGAGCTGAATCCATCACATGCTCCACACTCCGGTTTTCATTTTGTGACCAAGTTAAGCTTTCCAGATAGGCACCAGCTAAGTTAATATAATTCTGCCAAGTAGAAACTAAGTAAGAAAGGGATGTGTTGCCATAGATCTAGGAATAAGGATTTTTATCACAAAAAAAAAATCCCTAGGGCTCTAGACAGGGATCAGGATCTTTTTGTGCTATTACAATTGTCAGATTCAACAGAGTATTTGTTGGAGAAGCAGCAATCATTTATTTATTAGCTTGGACCTAGAAGGAGTAAATATTGTGTTAAAATGCTTTATCAGGCTCTTGACTGAACTCTTTCCCTCTCTTTAACAACCACCTAAAACAAGTTTCAAGGTACTATTTTTCTTCAGTCGCACACATACCCTTTTTTTTTTTATTATTCAAGCAGTATCTAAAGCTACTTGACAAGGATTACATCCCAAGCAAATATTCAACAGAAGATTGATGGGGAAATGAGGGTCACAATAAACATTCCCTTTACCACTCTACATGTAAAAAGATGCCTTTATAACAAAATAATGCAGTGCTCCACACATCACACCTACCAACGCTATCATCAGGTCACAACTCACAGTTTTCTCATCTTAGCATTCTGTACCAATTCTTTACTATTTAGCAAGCCTCTAATGGCATCTCATTACTCAAAGCTGAATAGCTTCAGTTTCATGGGCACTGAACTCCATGAATTTTTATAGATATTATGGTTAAAACTTTTTGAGGTATTTAGGTAACTAAATATACAGGTTGGATTAATTTTCCTAAATTATATTAGCTTTAATGGCAATTAGTTGCAAGAATACTTCCTGCATAACTCAAAATACTAAACTGGGATTTTTGATCCCCACATTTCCTATTTACATGAACAAGAC